CATTAGAATGCCGAGGTCATATTAAGTATCTATTTGATTTAAAGGTTGGTGAATTAATTTTGAACTGTTAAATATAACTGAGACGTATACCTAAATTAATTTGTACATATTTATATTATATCGTATTTTTCGGAAAGTAAGACAATTTTGTTACTCTAAAACAACCAGGAGCTAATTCTCATTAATGATCATGTCCAGGATTGCATACATACAAGATCATCGTTGTCATTTCTGAGAATTGGTAGAAGCACGACAATCTCTTCTACGAGGTTTAGGGCATTTAAATACATTTGATGTACATAAAATGGGGCCGATGACTATAATACACAGCTGTACAACACTTAGTTTGGCTAGTTTCCTTCATTTCTGTAACTTGTACCCCAATATATATACCTGTTGAAAAATGATCAGGAATAAGATACCCATAATAATACCCATGCATTCTTCTTCAGAACTTAACCTGCCATCACATGAAAATTTTCAATATTAGACAGTCAAACAAAATACATGACTTGATTTCATTTTTTAAAACATCAAATTCCGAATGTTGAAATGGCCGATAGTAATTCCGGATATACCTAACAAGCTAATTAGTGCTCTTGGGCTGAGTTACGAAGATTTGCAAGTTTGTCTCTCCATATAGCTGCAAAAGGCAACGGACAAACTTGGATGATTCCACAACACTACCCCGATTCAGGCATTCCATAACACAACCAACATATATATTATGTGTGTATTATAACTACAATCAAATGCAAAAGATATTTTACCTGCATCTCTAAATCTTTCCTGTTTGATAGCTATATGCATATTGTGCATCATACTTAGTTCTTGAGCTACCAAATCTGGACCATCTAAAGGACTGTAGAAAACATACAATGTCTAGACTCAGATGATAAACAAGAATGTAAAGAAAGGGGTTTGGTCTTGCAGTAACTCGTACAAAGAATCTATGGTGGCAAAGATGCCATATGTGACACAATAGGTATGCAATACCTGTCAAGCAATACGTCATAAATAGCCTTTTTATTTTGCACTCTGCTCATTCCATAACCAATTCTGATCGCATCTGTGAAAACAATTTCTTTACTTACATATATTGGAGCCTGCACAAAACAAATTTAAAATCATACAAGTGGATTTGTCTAACATCAATATGCACAAAATGCATTTTACTAGGAGTTTTGCATTAGAATAGATGTGCTATAGCTTTTGATGATTCTTGTTTAAGAAATAAATTTTGATAACATGCATTGGCAGTATCACCATAGAATTCATACCTTCCATCTATGTGCAACATTAATGGCATCTGAGGGACGTGCATCCGCACTGATAAGATCAGTTTTCCCAGGCTGAAGGAATCATGAACTTTTATGAATGAATAGCATAAGGCTTTTTTTATTATTTATGAATTGAAAAGTTTTCAAAACCTGGCTAAGGTACAATCTGGCAAAGTAAGTGCTAACCACTCTCTCTGTAATTCTCACCATTATCACCTGAAAGAGTAAAACAAAGGAAATACTTTTGAATTACTTGACACCCAATTATTATTTGAGGAATTAGACCAAGCATAATAGAATGATAATGCTACATTGCTATTACTTTAGAACTTTTGTAGAAGGAATATAAAGACTGATCAAAGAGATTGCTAACTGAAATCTGTTCTTAAGAGGACTCAAATAACTGTATCAAGAAGAATGCATAAGAACCAAAAGCTCCAAGACAAAGACATAATGACCTTCCTTCTACCAGAAACGCAAGCATCAGAATAAACAAAAACTAAAAACAAAAAATAAAGAAGCAGCAATTGATAGACCAACATCCATAGGAATCAATCTAAAGAGGGAAAGGCTTAGCTTCATACTTCATGGTCTAGTCTTCCGACTAGGTTTTTCACAAACTGGAACTGATCTGGGCAATCCTGTAATATCACCATTCTCTAAGTACCACTCCCAAAAAACGAAGAAGAAATAAACAACCATTCGAATAGAGGTTGAGTAATTACCCCACTTTCTTGTTCAAATTCAGCATCCATAAGTTTCTCAATAGCTATCTGTCCTGCAGCAACAAAGAAACAAAGTGAATAAACCATAGATCTCCCTTAAATTTTCGGGAATGAGAAACTAGACGACACAATAAGACATACCTACAACAATGGGTAGAATATAGTCTCCATCACAAGAAATCCTGAGAAAAATTGTAGGGTTCTGAAAACGCTGCAGAAAAGCGTGTCTTAATAAAGTATCATCCGTTGCGGAGAATGGAATCGACGGTGCAGAGGAATTCCATTGAAACCTATGCTTCCACATATGATAGTGGGAGAATGTTTCTGCGCTAGTTTAAGTAATTAAAATTTCAGACATGGATAGACCTAAACGATCAAAACAACCAGAGTTACTACAACACACTACTGCAATACAAATTCAAATTTCCACACACGCACAAAATATTAATAATTATAACAACTCATCAATATCATTAACTTTATTTATTTATTTATTATTATTATATAACTTTGGAGGAAACGGAAAAACGCAAAGAAGGAAGCATTGCGTTAATTTATGTTACGCGATGAAGAGGAGAGAGTGAGTAACCTGAGAGAAGGAGAGACGCTTCGAGATAATCGCTGCCGTGAGAATCGTCGGAGTTGGATCTACGGCGGGAGGAATTGCAGGAAATGAGGATCGATCTGCGGTGGCGGTGGCGGCGGGAGCGGAGCGGCGTGAGGCGGAGCGGCGAGAAATCGACGGCGACGGAGTTCGGAAAGGAGCGGGCGGTGGTGGCAGCGGCATTCGTGTGATCGGCGGCGGCGGAGCCCATGCCGGATACGGTGCGGAGGCAGAATCGGGAACCGAGCATTTTGGTATCGAAACGACGACGTATAAGCTGGAAAGCGGAAAAAGAGAGAAAGAGTGAGAGAGAGAGAGAGAGAAGAAGAAGGTTGTTGAGATGAAATGCGATGAGAGGCGACAGAACAGGTTTAAGGTTTGAGGTTTGTGAGAGTGCAGTACATGTTATTATGTTTATTATTATTATCGCTTTCTTTATTGTTAATTGTTAATTAATTAATTAATTTAATCTGGTTTTAATTATGGTGGTGTAGATGGATAGGATGAGGCGAGCGACATGAGATTCTTATCGGTGCTAACTATGCTTTGCTTTGCTTTGCTTTTATGACACCCAATCATGCACCATCTTCTTACTCCTTCTTATTCATCTATCTACACAACATCTTCCAATTCATTTTCAATTCATAAATATATATATATATATACTGAAAATACCCTTTTCGAATTTAGAAGGACTCTATTAGTTACAAATATGCTACTTTTATTTTTATTTTTATCTTTTTAACTTTTTTCTGATTTATCAAGAATTTAATTGTTATGAAGTTGGATTTTATCGTAACAGGTGTCGTTTACCAACAAAGATATCTTGATGCTCATATTTTTCTGCTTCTTTCCGCAAGATAGCAAATAGTTTGGACAGCCAAATATCTTTTTTTGTTTCTTACCGTATTTTGAATAATAAGTATTAATATTAAAAAATAATTATATTAAGTACGGAAAATATTATTTATAATACTTTTATTTAAGAGTAAAGCAATATGTCTAAAAGTAATTTATATCCAATTTGAAAATTAAACTCCTAACTAAAGAATACAATTGTAAAATCATTTATATTATGAAATTTGATAATTCAGATTTATCTTTGATGCCAAGTACATGCCCCCAGAGCATATATATATATATATATATATATATATATATATATAGTTAGGTTTGGTGGAAGAAAATTGATACTTGATATAGGGTAATAGGAAAAAGCATGTCTAGAGTTCCAAGAATAGATTCGATTTCATTGGCTATGCTCGAGGTACCTTAGGCTGCTATTCAGAATTTAATTAACATTTTCTAGCAAATAAAGCATGTCATTTCCCCCTCTTTTCATGAAAATATTCTTATAGAAGATTACTCATTATTCCCATCAAATTACTTTCAAGTTTCAAGTATCTTTTCAACTCATTTTCTTAAGACAACTTTCATGCCCAATGGATCAATATTATCCCATGTTCATAATTTCACTTCATTTTAATCCTAACTATTCACCGTCCCACCTTTTCATTCTCTAGGTAAAAAAGTCTTTTAATCGGTGGTAACAAAGTGAATGTAAAAAGAAACATACGAAACAAAAGAGGTGGGGCAAAAAAAATTGTCAAATTATGATAGATTTTTTAAAGTCGAACTTGACCTACTTTTCAAAAAAGCTATGGCTTAAGTTTCACCCGTTTATTTTATACAAGCCTTTTTATGGCTTATAAAATTTACTTTGTAATAAGCTTTTATGTAGGTAACTTTTTTAAAAAAATAGATTAATAGACCTAAACTAACATGTAAATTAACTAATAAATAAGCTAATAAACGTATAATATCAAATCATTTCAATAAAAATAATAATAATAACATCAACAATAATAATACTATATTATGTGTACATAATAATGGTAATTTATATAATATATAAAGCAAATATTTCTTTTCATAACTATATATGTTTAGTTTCCACAAATTTTGAACCATTACACCCTTAATTATAAAGAAAAGAGAAAAAAAATATATTTTTTAATTATTATTGACCAACTTTTTGAATAATGCTCAATCTATTATATTTTATTTTTTTAATCAAAAAATTTAATTTTAATATCAATTAATTATTAATCATTGATTTCGGTGATATTTTATTTCTTTATATAATTTATATATATATATTTAAATTTTTCTGGAGGTGAACCTATCAATCAATCATAAAACGGGTTGGATTAATAAATTGAAAGCAACTCATTTCGGCCTGAAATATATACGCTGTGACGTTAGAATTTGAAGCATGTTAGAATAGAGATGCATAAGAATTATTAGCTTCATGACAAACAGTACTACCCCGAAAGAATTTCAGGCACATGTGAAGAATGTAAAGATTCTCTTCAAACCTTGTGTTTCTTATTTCCACGTACTACTGAATTATTGGACCTTTGTTTCCCGTTCAAAAAATTAAATCACATTGTTGTAAATTTACTGCAAACTAATTATAAATTTTTTAATTTTTATACGTACTTTTTTTATCGTCTATTTTTATAGTGATTAAAAAATAGAATTTATAAAACTATAATTAAAGAGGCAAAACTAATATTTATAAAAATTAAAATTAAATATTTTTAATTATAAAGACTAAAATGTAAATTCTGTTAAAATAAAGATAATTAAACCAAACAACCTTTACTCATTAGTACAATTTTACAAAGTCAGAACTGACCTCAACAAGAGTCTTACCAATTGTTCTTATAAGCGAGTGAACAAAGCAAATTATGTTCTTAAAACCAAAGAATAGCGAATTTAGAAAATAATTTTATGGAAACATAAGAGAATGCTTCATTATCAGAAGCACATGAAGTCCAACTCATTAGTGGAAGACAGTCTAAATACAGAAAATCACAATCCACACAATCCACAAATCGGGTCGTTGACTGGTTGATGTCCTGGCAAAAAAATCTATTGTAGGATGATTGCGGAGACAGAGAACATCAGAACATGACCGAAACCTTCCAAAACAATTAAATCAAACTAAACAACTCATCAATGTAAACAAAGAAAAAAAAAATATAAAGTTGCTTAGAATAATACTACAATCGATTTTCTTAAATAAGTTCATTAATTCGAGTATTGTAAATAAAAAGAAAATAGCTAAGAGAAAATTTTCATTAAATGTGATCAGTCAAATTCTTTGACAAAAATTAATTATCAACAAAATTGGTGAATAAATTTTACTAATAACATGATTAAAAAAACACACAATGAAAAAATGGTTTAATTTTCAATGAAATGATTTTACTATCAACTAATTAAAAATTACTTTAACTACATAAGAATGACTTTTAAGCAATTATTAAAAAAGACGACAATTTTACCACATAGCAACATATATTATATGGTAGAATAAAAATATTTTACAGTGTCGGTATATAAATTTAATTAAAAAAATGTCAATGACAAAGGTACAAGTTTCTGTTACATTTGGTTGTTTCACAGACAGTGAAGAATGACATCTGCAAAAATAACATGAAAGAAATGTTCCTGTCATTTCATACACATGAAATTAAATTTAGACATCAACCAGAACAAATCTGAATATGATGCAACTTCCATCAGTGACTTACTCCTTTTGTGGAATTGATGATCCTTACGCATTTCTTGTTATTAATTATTTTAACATTACAAATTGGGTAGTTAGACAGTGATTAGGCGCAGATAATCACTATAATCCACATGAACATGAACAAAACTAGTGTTCAGGATATATTGTGTATAAAGCATATGTACATTATCATTATCAACCTCATTACAGTATGTATAATATCTTTTCTTTCTTCTACTTTCATCTCCTTACAATAGTAGGCAGTGACACAAGTATAAAAGGGCATACTACAAAGTACAAAGTACCTATCAAATTCATACTTGATTGATTTACACTGCCATTGGGTTTCCAAAAGCACGTGTCGACCTCTGGCCATGGAATTGCGCGGCGACTGTTGACCTACAATAAAATCCAAATAGTATATTACAAAAATGATTCAAGGCACCAACCAAAAACAACAAAAACATCCATAACAGTACCCAGGGAATGAAAGGGAAATACTTACGGCTGTTGGTGTCAGTTGAAATTTTGAAGAACATGAATGGGCAACAAATCTCTTCACCTCTGGCCTCCTAAGTCACAACACTTTGACTGGAAGGCAATAATGGGGACACCCATGACTAAAATCCTTCTTACATGATGAGCATGAGAAGCCAAATAGGTTTAACCGAGGATAACAAGGGTAAAATTAATCCTTTTTACAATCTTAGTAGATCTCCATGAGGGGATAAACTAAATATATTTGAAATGAGGACATTAAATCTCATCTTTCGTCGATTAAAAAACTACACCTCTTCCTCTGGTTCTGTTATTGGTACAACAAGGAAGCATACAGCTTCACTCCCAAATGTCTGGGTACCAGAGACAACCCCGTTTGTCATACATGTCAAAGACACCCTTGAGGCAGCTTTAACAACTTGATAATCACATATGTTTGGAAACTTTGACCAGAGTAGAGACAAAGGTCAAGTGGAGTTAAACCATCCTGAGACAAACAACAGAGAAATTGCCATTTACAAATCAACATAAAAGAAATGGCCATCATTAACCAAATAGACAATGAAATTGAACACTCAATCACTATTCCAAGGTTTCTCTACAAGAGTACAACAACTGAAATATTTGAAGATGCAAGCAAAGTACTCCCTCCGAACTCAGATATAAGCAAAAAACTAATTCATTCTAATTTTCCCAATGTCATTTAAAATTGAACTTCATTTCCTAAACTACCTTTCATGCTAATTGATGGAAGTATTCAAATTTATGAGAACTTGTTTCAAATGGAAATACTCTTTCTACATTTTGAATGCTATGTGGTTGATATCACAAGAATCAAAGGGGATATTGCAAATAAAAGCTGACTTAAATAAAAGGTATTTGGTGGATAATTTCATTAAATAGGGTTAAATAGTTAAAATTGCTTATATTTTAGACCACCATTTATGATTTTTTTTTTGCTTATATTAAAATCCTTAAGGAACATGTAACAACTAACAAGTTGCATGAAATTCTAAACATGGAGGACATTAAGCAAAATTAGAAATTCCTCAACTACAGCAGCAAAATTAATCATACCTTATCCTACTGAGGTTGACTACTTAACACATCACACTCAATAAAAAACCAAACTTTCAATTAAACCATTATTCCACCATGTAATAAAGATTTGACAAAACTTTGTGTTAACTTGATTCAGGCTAGGGACCAGCTACGTAAAGTTTAGCAAACAAACATTAGATTGCCAAAGTTTAACAATCCCTCAATTACTTTTGATAATTTTTCTTCAACAACTAATAAATTGTTAAAGGCTTTGGAAAGGTTTCCCTGGTATACAGGCCAATATTAAATTATCTCAATTTCTAAATTGAGAATCAGGGTTTGGATATCACAATAACCTTTATTCAAATCACCTAACTAGTTCATCTGGCAGGGACAATCGGTCTAAATAGCAACGGATGACAGCTGATATTTGTACCAATGATCCAGTAAGTTATAGCATCTATATTCAGGTAACATTATGCATAACATCAAGGTTCTTTCACATTTATGGATCAACGCAGTAAATCAGTAGACAGTTACCTTGTTTCTTAATGTCTTATTGGCACCTTTAAGCAGCAGAAGCCTTACTAAATTTGGTCTCTGAGTTTGAACAGCAAGATGTAATGGTGTCCAGCCATCCTTAAAATAGAGTAAATGAATTATCAATTATATTCTATAAAGGTACTGAAAAAGATTACATGGTAGATATGCTAAATATGAAAACAATTATCCATACATTGTCCTGAAGATTTATATCCACATTATTCAATAAGAGTAATTCAATTGTCTCAGTAGAAGCTGTTTGTACGGCATAGTGCATCAAGGTAGCCCCCTCCTGTTTCCAGACATAAACAGCAAATCAGACACATAAAAACATCAGCAAGAAGAACTTAAGCCAGTGATAATAACATGCTGTTAGATTATAATGGAATGATAACAGTGACAATTTCTCAATGGGAGCAGGAAGAGCAAAAAAAATAACTTAGAGAAGAAACACAGCAAGTAAAGGCTCACATATGCAACTAAAGCAATTAAGTAAGTTTTTACTCACTTTGTCCTGTACAAAGGGATTAGCTGAGTTTCTCAGGAGATAATTGGTTATGGCCTGCTTTTTGCCAATTGCTTTATGAAGGACAGTCAAACCATCCTGGAAACAAAGTAAATCACTATAGTTAAAATCAATGACCCCTTGCATTTTATTCTTCCATATGAAAATTTAGAATTAACACACCTTATCCACAGCATTGATATCAACATTATGCTTCAACAGAGAATGTAAAAGGTAAAATTCTCCGCATGCAGCAAGAGTGTGCAGAGGAAGCCAATTACCCTGAAAACAACATCAGTATTAGCCAAAACTATTCAGATTATTTCACCAAATGCTATAAGGAAGTAAATCAGAACACCTTTCCCTCCCAATAGTTCTACCATGGTTCTGAGACAGAAGGAAAATGCAACAAGGTTATTTAGTCTCATCAAATAAGACAAGCGACAATGACTAAGGGTCTGTTTGTATAAATTTCTCAACAAGTTCTTCTAAGAGAAGATAAAAAGAAGAAAAAAATGGAATTAACTTCTCCATAGGTTAAACTTATTAGCTTATACATAAGTTAAAAGACATATTTAGGAAAAACTAACGAAAAGCATATCCATAAGCTAATTTTAGCTTTTGAAGAAGCTCATTTCATTTTTTTTTTATTTGTTTTACTTAGAAGTACACATAGAGAAGTTTATCCCAAAATAATTTATATATAAGTGATTGCAATTTGTTCATTAGTCAGAGAAAACTCACTGAAGTAGCAGCAGCCAAGTCAGGCATTGGCTTGTTTAACAAGAACATCTCCTCCTTAGTAATAGTAAACAACTTGCGACGACCTATCCATTCAGTGCTCAAAAAAATTAGAACGAAAATGGAAACACTCAAAAAAGCCATATATTTGTAACAAACAAATGCAACAATCCGTGATTCAACAACAACAACAACAATAATAAGGCATGAAAATAGATAGGCACCTTCATGGGTGATGTTAGCACTGGGGTTGTAACTCCAACTATTGAAAAAATGAATAACATCCTCCAAACCCTTCCCATGAACAACCCCTCTTGGATTCTTAGGCTCTACACGCTCACCCTTGAAGTCAGGTTCCGGAACCTTATGTTCAACGGGAAACGTAGAAGGGTTTTTGAGAAGCAGAGGATTGAGCTGTTTCAATTTATCCTTTTTAGAAGCCTTGTATTCATCCCAATTTATATCCCTGAAGGGTTTCGACCCTTTTTTCCCCTTATTATAAAAATCGAATTTTTTGACGTCCCTTAAAGGAACCAAGTCTCTTCTCTTATTCTTGCGCCTCTCATTGACGGTGATGATGCTCTCTGCCTGCGCCCTTCTCCACTTGTCCGGAACCAAATTCTCGCGCGTATTCAGCACCGGTTTTTTCTTTGGTCTAGGTTTGGGTCTGTTATCGGTGTCGTTTGGGAAAACGGTGTCGTCTTCGAAAATGCCTTCCTCGAAAACGACGCTGTCGCCGATGTTTTGGGAGTGGGCGTTCCATTTTGTTGGGAATTTGAGGAAATGGCGAGGTGTGGTAGCGGAAGAGAAGAATTTGTGAGGAAAGAGAGTAACAGTGGAAAAAGGGAAGATGGTAACGGAGCCTTCTATCAGTTCCATTTCTTCGCTGCTGCTACTGCAAATGCTAACACGCAACGCTTTGGGTCTAATTTGATATAAGAAAAAAAAACAAAAAACTATAAGAGTTACTATTTTTTTTAATCCCTCGAAATCATAATAATATTCGAACTTAAAATTTAATTTTATCTTAACCCTCCAACTCTATGTCAATCCTAGTTGTACTTACAACCGGCACTATCTAAAACAATTGAATATCTACCTATATTTATTTAATTGAACATCAATTTATTCCTTAAATATTACTATCTGTCCTAAATGGTATCCAATGTAAAAAAGAAAAACACTACATAAGTAATCTTTCAAATATTTCCAAATATTAAAAACTCTTCGTATTTGAAAGATTACTTGTGCAATTAATTTGCCCAATTCATGTTCTTAGCCAATCTAAATAACTGTGGTTTTGGAAGAACAGAGTTTATACTTGATATAAAATAAAATAAAATTACTAGGCATGTTTGGTGCATTGTTCATTTGAAATTTAGATATTAAATCACATTATAATTTAATTATTCATTTGATCTTTATACTTGCACAATATTTACATTATAGACTTCTACTTTCTACACCTCGAAACTACTTGTTATAATTTTTAGACATTCATTATTTTTGTTTGCATCAAAAATATCCTTCAAACATTAGTTATAGAGATTGATTCTTTTCGAGACTTAGAGATAACACAAATAAATTTTAAATTTAATGCTTTAAATTTAATAGTGATGCATTATTAGCATAAAAAATTCCACACTATAAATTAATCACAAGTGATTGTTAATATAACTTATTTTTATTGTAAAAGTCAATAAACTTATATAAATTATGATTTGTAATTGAATAATAGTATTCATCACCATTAAATCCATAAATCTTCCCTCTCAACGAAGTCTTCTCTACACATATATAAAAACATCATGAAAACCGTGGATAGTATTTCAAGAAATTTCATTGGATATTCTTTTGATATATAACGCATTTGAAATTCAATTTTTAATTCACATTTTAAAAAAATGGCAGCCCAATTTTCTTTCTTTTTTCATGAAAGCATTCCTATTTTCCTATCATATTCAAAATATACATTTTAATATAGTACAATAGCGTAGTTGTCCCAAAAATTTCCATACGACGAAAGGATGCTAACTGTCATGCAAAACTTGGCAACGGCTAGTCATTTGTTGGTCCAAATCTCTCAAAAGTGGTATTGTTTCTTAGCCCCATTTGTCATACTGATACAAATCTAAGACTTCTTTGAGGCTTCTTAAACAACTTGATTAGCTCATATGTTCTGGCACTTTGACCATAGTAAAGGCAAAGCTCGAGTGCAGTTAATCCATCCTGAGATAAACAAAAGAGAAAATTCAATTTTAAAATCAATGTAAAGAAATGGGAAGCATTAAGCAGCTAGACAGCAGAAATTGAACACTTAATCAGTAATGCAAAGTTGCAAGAAAGAAACACAGGACATAGGAGATATACTAAGCATAAATTAAAAATTCCTGAATTACAGCAACAATAACAAAATGCTTATATGGATTACTGTTTGGAGCTGCATAACGCAATGTACATTGGCAGGAGCATACTATTTGTATCTTTTGCTCCATAAGTATGTTCAGGAGCTTTCAAGGTTACACAAACATGGTAAAAATCAATCATGATTTATCATACTATGGTCAGCTACTTGACAAATCACGCTCAACCAAAAACCAAATTTCAATGAAACCATTAATCCATGTCATAAAGATTCCACAAAACTTTGTTAGTTTGTCAAGCATCTAAATTCAGCTAAAATTATGCAAGACACAAGGTTCTTTCGCATTGATAGATTAAAGTAGGGAATCAAAAGAAAATTACTTTGTTTCTTAATGTCTTGTCAGCACCTTTAATCAGCAGAAGCTTCACTAAATCTGTTCTCTGAGCCTGAACAGCAAGATGTAATGGTGTCCAACCATTCTAAGACAGAGCAAATGAATTATGTTCTCAAACAGCTCATCAGAAAAGAATCAAAGGAAGACAAAGTAACCAAGAGAAGAATTAATCATACATTGTCCTGGAGATTTATATCCACGTTATATAGTAAGAGTAGTTTAATTGTCTGGGTAGAAGCTGTTAGTACAGCATAGTGCATCAATGTGGCTCCCTCCTGTTTTAGGTACATAAACAACAAAATAGATGGATAAACATATCAGCAACAGGCAGCTAAGGCTAATGAGAACAATATGCTGTAAGATTAAGATAGAATGACAACAGTGACGATTTTTCAATGGGGGCAGGAAGAGCTTAAAAAATCAGCAAGTAAAGGCTCACTTTATCCTGTACAAAGGGATTAGCTGAGTTTCTCAGGAGATAATTGGTTATGGCCTGCTTTTTTCCAATTATTGCTCTGTGAAGGGCAGTCAAACCATCCTGGAAACAAAGTAAATCAGTAAAGTAAATAGAGGACACATGCATTTCAATCTCCGAGAAAAGTTAGAATTGAAATACCGTATCCACAGCATTGATATCAACATTATGCTTCAACAGAGAATCTAAAAGGTAAAATTCTCCACATGCAGCAAGAGTGTGCAGAGGAAGCCATTTATCCTGAAAATAATATTAGGATAGACCATTAAAAGAGACATTTAGCATATTCACCAAAGGCTACGCACAAGTAAGTGAATCAGAACCCTTTTCCCTCCCTACACCTTTATCATCATTCTCACACACACACACAAAATGCAACAAGGTTTCTTAGATCCAAGTATACAGTCCAGGAAGACCGAAAACATCAGCATCAACTGGGAATACTGGATTACTCAACAACATCATTGGCGGAAAGCAAAATCACAACGAAACCCGATGATGGAGAGCAAGCGTTTTTCTTTTCCAACAATTATAAGCATTCAACAATGTTTACAGATAAAACTTACTGAAGTAGCAACTTCCAAGTCCGGCACTCGCTTATTCATCAAAACCTTCTCCTCCTTAGTAAACAACTTCCGCTTACCTATTCATGCAGCCAAAAAAGAATTAGGACGACAACCCCAACACTCAAAAAAGCCACATACACACCATGAGACAAACACAACAATCAGGGAACAAAATAATTTATTAGATCATGACGTAGCTCCTCAGCCCACGTTGCCATTCATTAACTACCACAAGATGAAGCAATAGTGCACCAACCAGATAGTTTTCAATGCATTATCTCATGTTTCAATTATCAAAGAAGCCCAAGTTGCCTGTTTGTTTGGAATTTCATTCTTGAACAAAAAGCCAATAGACTTATTTGAGGGAGGGTTCCATAGGTGTTCATCCGGTAGGAATTGAACCTTCGAATTCGCCAATTATGAGTTGGAAACTTTGACCATTCAGCCATGAACGCTTAGTAGCAATCCTCTTACAAGGTTAATAACCAAATTTCAAGTAAAATCTTTCAAATAAATCAATGCAATTTAGAAGGATTCAATGAAGGGCATCAATTCAAATTTCAGAAGCACTTATAAGAGAAGAAAATAGAAAGTTAAAATAATATTAGTTTTATCATAAGCTAAAATTAACTTAGTTTATGTATAACTACTTTATAAAAGTTATCTTATATCAGTTTTTCCAAAAAAAAAAAAAAGTTTTTTTTTTCTTATTTTCTTCCTCGCAAGTGTTTTCTAGAAATTTATCCAAACACATCGTATAACACAACAATCATATCAATCATCAACATCCACATAAGTAAAAATACAATGGCAAACGAAAATGGAGACAAAAGGGCATAAATGAAAAGAAACAAAAAATCCATGTTACCCTGAGGAGTGTTAGAAGAAGGGTCATAGTTGTCACTATTGAAAAACTCAGTGACATCCTCCAAACCCCTTCCATACACAGCCCACCTTGGATTCTTGGGCTCTACACGTTCACCGCCGTTCAATTCAGGTTCAACCCAAGGAACCACTTCACCATGGTTCAATTGAGGTTGAGTCTCAGGTACCTCTTGGTTCTGGATAAAAGTAGAAGCGTGAGGGAGAAGTTTCATCTGCGCCAATTTGGCCTCCTTAAAAGCCTTGTAGTCATCTAAGTTCATATCCCTAAGAGGAATCAAGCCTCTTCTCTTCTTATCAACGGTTCTGTTGAACTCGATTTCCCTCGCTATCTTGCGCCTCTCCCTCTTCGTGATGTTTATCTCTGCCTGAATCTCTCGCCACTTGTCCGGAACCAAATTCTCGCCCCCAGTCACCTCCACTTTTTTCTTCCAACTGGGCCTGGGCCTGGGCCTGGGCCTGGGCTTGGGCTTGGATGTGGGCTCATTGACGGAGAGAGTGTCGGAATTATGGAAAAGGGGGTCGTCGAAAACGCCGTCCTCGAAAACGAGGCAGTCGCCGATGACGTGTTCGTCGGAATCGTGGTAGTGCGGCGGTGGCGAGAGGGAGGGGAGAGTGGGGAAATGGAGAGAGAGTGAGCGATGGAGGTTGCGGGAAGAAGGGAAGTGGAAAATGTGAGGTTGGGGATTAAGCAAAGCAATGGGAGAAACATGAAACATGGTCATGCTTCCTTTGCTGCTTCCAACACTCTATTACCTCCTGCTTCTCTCTTTTATAATTTTATTCCTCACATATATATATATTATCATGTTTTTGGTGGAATTATCCACACTTGGAAATCAATCACAATATTAGACAAATAAATATTAAACAATTTTTATTTTATAAGTCAAATTTGTAAAATTAAATTAAATTTTAATTAAATTCTTTGAGATAATACCATAATGTATCATAGATCTATCGATTATTAATTATTAATAAATTTATTAGATCATTTATCATCAAATTATTATTATATTATTTATAAATATTTAATCTTATAAATTTTACACTTACTAACTTAAAATGTGAGGTATTATATCTTTGTGTATAATTTTAAACTATATTTTAAATAGTTAATCAACACCATTATGATTTTTCGGTGTGTAAACTATAGAGTGGCAATAGCCCTTAAATTATGGAGTTTTAAATAAAAATATAAAATTTACATTTTTTTTAATTCACATACATGTTCGGGTAAAAATATCAATTTCAGCTATTTAAGTGCATAAATTATCCAGTTTTTTATTATTTTGGTCTTTAAATATATCTCAAGTCACATTTTTGTTTAATTTTGAATAAAATTGTTCAATGACTTATTTTAAAAAATATTTTTAGAGACTAACAAGAAAGTATTATACACTTTCAAGAAATAGCATGATAGTTTATTTATATTTTAACTCTCCGCTTTTGTTAATAATAGTATAAAAAAAATTAGATTTAAAATGTGTTGTTTATTTTCTTTTACACATGTGTTGTTTAATGTTTGTACGATAATTAAAAAAATTAAAAGATGGAGAACAATCAGACAAGCAAGTTTTTCTTGTATCCGATAACAAGGGATTTGAACATTAGTTATGTCCCAAGTTTTTATATTTTTTTATGAATAAAATAGTAGACAAGAGATTTCACTTTAAGATTATCAACTACAGAGCCGATGACATTCTTCTAGTGCAAAATGATTTTTTTGAATAAATATATCTATTAAAATAATATTTTAATGATAATTATCAAACTCGCATCATGTGAAATTTAAACTTATATAATGTATTAACTTTCTATAAATATTTAGAAGAGTTTATTGATAATATACTGATTTTATTTTTTTTAAAGGGACTAAATTTATGTTATTAATCAATAAATTTATCATATATAATAATTTATGATAAAAATGATATAAAATTATTTTATATTGTGACAATGTATAGCCTATTTTCACTAATTAGAAAGTTTGATAAATTTAGTTGATAATGATAAATTTATAATATATAAAATTAAGATCTTGTTTGGGGGTGTTTTTTATTTTTTATTTTTTAAAATGCATTTGCCAATACAGAACTGATATATTTTCGGCTCAATTTCAAAACACGTTTATATTCATTACTAAAACCAAGAAGAAGAAAAAATGTTCATCAAGTTTGATAGGGAGTTAAAAACATAATAGCTAGAAAAGACAAAAAAATGTACTCAAAAAGAATATTATTTTAACATTTTTTTTTACAAATTCTATTTATTTCTATTACGTCAAAAACCTTTAATATGCTAGCAACTATTGATATATGTTCTACTTATTTAATGTCACATTATCTCTAACATTAAGTTAACTTCATAAATACAAAAATATATTTTATTAACTGATTTTACACGAAAATAGTTAAATATTACGAAACATATGGCATAGAGAGAGTTCTTCGTATCCATGAAATCCAAAGTTAAAAATATTAAATTTTCATGTTTAGTTTGTTATTTAAAAATTAATCAACATTCTAAGAAACAATCTTTCCTAGCAATATATTTTAATACAAGTTTCTCACAAAATTTGATAAGAAACTAATATACACAAATTATAAATAAAATTTTAATACAATAAAAATGTCACATTAACTTTATTTATTTACTCAACGCTAAAATCTTTGAACCCCAAATTTCCAAACAACATTTATAAATATTTTCAAAAAAGTTTATAATTAACCACATTTTAATCGTTCCTAAATCATTATTTTTAAGATTTGTGATCCTTATAAATCATGATTCTCACACATGAAATAAAACTTGGTGTACCAAACACCCCCCCTTAAATTAATGATCAAATTTTAACTTAACAAGATTCAATATAGTAATCAAATCATAAACAAAAGTAGATCACACGAGCATTGAAATTTAAATTTTTAACAAAGCCAAACTTAAACTTAGAATTTTACTCATTTAATAAATGATCCAAACTTGGGCAATGTTTTCTTTCTTTTCTAAAAGTCAAGCTTGATCATCAAATGCTGACTTGATCACCATCTAATTTTACACCCCTAAACTCCCTACCCCTTGCGATATTAGAAAACGTATAGAACTGTAATTTACTCAACATTTAGTTTAGTTTGCAATTTGCACCTGTTCATTTATCAGTACTAAGAAACGAACTTAAAAAAAGATCAGAGACAAACGGGAGCTCTACCAGAGTACTAATACGGGGTCTTGTAGAACCATTTGACCATTAGATTATGAATTGTACAAATACGGAATAAATACAAGTATATAAGAGTGCAGACTACTTCCAAAACACGGATACAAACTGATACATACTATGACAGAAGTACAGTTTTTACCTTTCCACAACTTCAAAGATGAAAGCGAGCTAACAAAAGACATCACCTAGATCCACGAGCATACCTTCTATCTGGGCTACCATATGGAGAATAAGGAATTGACCTCGACCTCTCTCTCCTAGACCGTCCACCATAAGGTGAGTGCCTTGGTGAATAATCTCTACCACCTCGATATGGTGAGCGCCTTGGTGGAGACCTACGGTATCCATAATCATCACGACCAGATCCACCTCCTCGATACCTTCCACGGTCGCCACGATATCCTTGAGACAAACAAGTGGAGTTCAGTAAATGATTTCATAAAACAAACACAGAAACACTAAAGACTAGAATCACCCCATTCAAAAGACACTGTCCCAAAACTAACTTACCGTAGTCTCTAGTACTTTTCAGACCAAGATAGTGTCCGGGTGTAGGAGTTCTTGGTCGCTTTCTTCTTGACTGAAATAGAAAACAGAAGCCCACAATCCTTAGAATTGATTTGATAAGAAACAAATTGCATATATCATCCATGTACCACTGGAAGCAAAACAGCTTGAATCTCATGATATCATTCTTGCCATGGTAAATTGTATTAAGACTTGCACATGATTAATGTTTCATCAAGATAAACAGCCTAGCTTATGAGAGAAGAAAGTTATATCCACAATTATGACTGATGCAAGGCGTGAGATACCATAAAAGCCAGATTAGAAAGTTGTTGATAATGTCCGTTGATTAGTTGAGTTGAAAGTGAATGCTGAGATTGTAAAGTTGTTGGACAATATAGTTGCTATGTTTAGTTGATCAGAAGCATTTGATTAGCTGTTTAAGCTTGCCATTGATCAAGCTGTATCACTAAAGTTGACATGTATGAACTGATCATCTTTGATTGCTGCCAAAATAGCTGATGCAATGTATATTCTGAATATGACCACAAAACCTTCAAGTTAAGAAGGAAGAAAAAGAACAAGTATTTGTAGCAACTACTAATAAACAGAAAAACAAATTACCCGCTCAACAGTGATGTAGCGTCCCTCTAAAACTGATTGATTGAGATATTTGATGCAGCGGTTTGCATCCTCGACAGTATCCATTGTAATAAAAGCAAAACCACGAGAAATTCGTGTCCGAGGCTCCACCACAAGAAAACATGAAGCAACCTAACAAAGATGACAATTATTGACATATCCATTCCAAGATATGGGGCTCGCCAATGAGTAAAACTGACAATTCAATGAAAAAGGAGAGAAAATCAAATATGATACTCACCTTTCCCTCCTTAGAGAAATGCTCCTCTAGGTCTCTCTCAGTGACCCTTGAAGATAGGCCAGTCACATAAAGTGTAATCCCACCATTTCTAGACTCAGACCTGGAACATTAATTGAAGACATTATAAGAACCTGACCCATCATTAAACCAGAAAACTTGTTCCCTTCAGAAATACTGCAAAAATAGAAATTATCTTTCAATGAAAACACCATGACCAGATACAAACAAAATGGAAAGTGACTAACCTTTCGTTGCTTCTTGATCTTGATCTGAACATGACAAAATCATTCAGTTCAAAACATAGTAAAAAGAGGAGACACAAAAAGAAGTATTAGGCCCATCAAAAAGTATATAATGTGAAAGAAAAAGGGTTGCACAGTCAACAGTCCCGACTCTTGAAAGATACTATGTTTGGCACTAACCTGCCATGACTTCTGGAACGGGATCTTGGTCTTTGCTTTTCAAAAGATCTTGACCTGGACCTAGACCTATGCCTAGACCGTGACCTGGACCTTGACTGCTCCCTCCACGGAGAAGGGGACCTTGAATTCCTGAAATATTCAAGCATCACCAAAGGGTCAAATGGCTTCATTAAACAATAATCTTAGAGTAAACTCCACATTCTTTAAACCGTGAGTTTGGACTCAGTATCTTAAAAAATATTATCTCGTGTACAACAGTACAAATGAATTCTAGTGTGAAACTATTTCTGGATGACCCAATTAAGAAATTTAATTATTGACCCTCTTGCATTTGGGCCAGCCGAGCATCTGAGCTAGACCTCATGTCACCCCAATAATTTCTCCACAGTCCTTTCGACTATGGCTTGGAACTAGGAGGGCTATGGACCAACCCAAATTTGGGCTAAGTGTCAAAGTTTGATCGGAATTCTGCGATCCTTAGAGAATCTCCAGTGATCATCCTCGAGTTCTCGCCGAGAGTGACGAGATCAAACTCCAAATCAACAGCCTAGGGCAATACTATCACAAGGTCAAATAGCTAGGGTAAACACCGAACACAACAGGACTAAATGCTTCAGTCATAGCCTAGCTTCGGGACCTACCTCCTGAGGTTAAACTTTGACTCTAAACAATTCATTAACAAGTAATTTCTAATGTTTAATTTCATTGTGACTAATAATTACAAACACATGAACACAAACGAAGATGTAGTCAAATGCGAAACGATGATCGTGCACCAAAAATATTCGATTAACACGATCACCGTAATCCAAGAGAGTTATGGAGTTTACCTTCTCGGCGGAGAATCGGCCTGCAATATAATTGAAAATAAATTTAAAAAAAAAAGGGGAAAAAAAGAGCATTAGAATATCTTGGTGAAGTCGTAGAGAATAATCTTAGTGACGGGAATGGATTAAGACAGAGAACTTGCCATTTCCACGAGCGACGATCTTCGAGTGTTGACTTTGTAACGGAGATGGAGAATCAAGAATAAAACGACCCAGGGTAAGGGTTTTTGTCGAGTCCAATCGCTTAAACGAATTGACCCTCGATTTCATATAGCGACCTGTCATAAGGGTCGGGTCGGGTCATTAGGCCCATCTAATAAAGATTTTTGGTCTACAATGGACAAAAATATTTACGGATCCATATTTATAGGGCCAAAAGCCCAAAAGCTAACACTCCTTCCCGGAGTTGCGGGTTCATGATATAATCCCACAAATACTAATACTAATGAAAAAAAAAATTATTAAGAAAATATAAAGGTTCATTGCAATGTTTTTTTCAGTGAATATAAAATAATCAATCACGTGGCTATTACTCCACACAATACTATTATCCTATCTCCACGTACAAGCTTCTCAAATCCTCCCAAAATTGTTTATATTCTCATATATTTTTCCAATTTTGTCAGCCTATGTGAAAAAAAGAAACGGTAAATTTCTTGTCCTATGATAAAGTTATTTCTTCTTGATTCCCTTTATTCAATTCCTAAACTCATCCTCTCCTTGAACCACGATAAGGATGAAAAATGAACTCGAGTGAGTTATTATGGCACAAGAAGGAGTTTTGGTAAAGGTTCTAAGTTGACATCTGAGACTACCAAAAATAAAATATTCATAGAAAAAGACTATTAAAAATAAAATTACTTCTGGCTAAAGTAGAGAAACAAATGGGAGAGGCAATCCAAATTAGATATTTAGATTTCATAAGATTAACTACTACAACAAACTACCTTGTTTTGATACCCAGTATTTTTGGTAAAATACAAGATTTTTTTGCTTAGTCCTTTATTTAGTCCACGTCCTCTTTATTTTGTCTTTGTTCCTAATTAGCATAAAATGATTTTATTAGGTTATAATTATATTGTTTTGTTATATTGAAATTGTTCAAAGTTCAATCACATCAAAATGGTTCCAAAGAAAGTATAATAATCTCACACAAACGAGGGAACAGGATGGCATAACCAGAACGTAAGCAAGCTATCAGGTGTTTGGGGAGGGATAATGTTAGTAATGGTAGAGTCTAGTGATTCTTTTAGTTAAAAACTAATCTAATCTAGTAATTTTTATCCAACAACTACATTAAACCATTAAGTGTTCTGATTTTATAATAATAACTGGTGCTCGAGTTTGTATAATACACAATAAATATTTATTTAATCTTTTGTAATAAATAAATTAAGATCCGTAAAAGTACATAAATACTTTGAACATATAAATTAACTTTTAAATTTATAATGAACAATTTATATTTATATTATAACAAAATTATAAAATTATCATTAATTATTAAAAATGTTAAAAGATATAAAAATAAAGTTTAATACAGTATATTGAAAAAAAAAGCTTAAAAAATTCTTAACTACACTCTTCAAAAAAATTTTTTAAATAACTCTTCAATTCCCTAAAATCTTTGTCTTTAAAAATGTTTTTTTTTTTTTTTATCTATAAGAATTAAACTTGGTACTAGATTTATAACACACCTTATTTAATCAACTGAATTAGACTCTTATGTCTTTAAAATATACATTCTCGTGTCTCTATGCATGTACTAATACTCATGAGGAGATTTTGCTACTTTATAGAAGGGAATATAATTCAAAGGAAAAGAATAACAATCTATGAATGTAGACTAGATTAAAAAAACAATAATAAAGGACAAGTAATGGACACTAACAATCTATAAACTGGCGATCCTATCAAAATATGAATCAATATCGTGTGAAAGATTTACAAATGAACTAAACAATCATTTATAATTACAGAAAGCTACATAACTTCACCCCCGATTTTTTTTCTGTCCTCTTTCTCAGGAAGGTGCAGGCAAGACATCACACAACAACATGAATCCAGGAGTTTAAGTTGTTAGGATATCTGGAATTGTTGTGGAGTGAGCCCCCAATATCTTACCGCCAGCATCGGGGAAATTCTCACATTCAGGTAGGGATCTAATCTTCCCATCGGAATCTACCTGTACAGGATACTTGAGAAGATGTCCTTGCAGAAGTGAGAAATCTTCAGATGCAAACAATTTCCAATTATTGTCTGCAATTGTATTCACTTTATGCACACATTCCAATGTCTCGGGTTCCTCAAAAATTTCATCTACCATGTCAAGATGCTCTGCCCAAAGGGACATTCTGTAACCATAAATCTGCAGGAACAAAAACCATCAAATGTAATTGTAATAAATACAATATCACACCGTATATTGGCACATAACAGCTAAGAGGTTCACACCATTAAGGCGTTGATAATTTTCTCCCAACAGACATGGTACATGAAGGTACAAGGGATACTGAGACACACAGGTGGAAAGTCACACTATCAATGATTTTTATTTGGTTACTTATCCAAGAGATCATCTAGTAATTCAATAATTTGGGAGGAAGTCATTCACATTCAGTAGGAGATAAGGGTGATTTCCAGGTCTACTTGTGCCTATCATCCAGTAATTTGATATATCTGATAAAATATAGTCAATTAAGATAAGATACATGGTTTCCAACTCATTAGAGAGCCCAAGTTGTAATATCACATATCATTTGCGGCTGGACAAAAAGAGATTTACAAATAGAAAAATTACTATAAGAATTAACAGCAGGAGAAATACAAACCTGGCCACGTGGATGTCTTTTCTTTGTTGACCATGTGTAATGGGGTTGATATGCACCCATAGCTATCTCAGTATCTTTAGTACCAGCCATAGATCTTTGGTTTATATTAGCAGATCCAATTATAACATACTCATCATCAACGATCATCCCCTTAGCATGCACATAAATCATAAATCGGCGATATTTATATGCTCCTGAGACCTGACAAGAAAAATAGACTCATAAGCAACCATGTATATATGGTGTTAATATGTTAATAAACTACATTTTAAAGAAGCTCAAAAGAAAAAAAAAAACTATGATATACTGAAGGTGTAAACATGTTAAAAGATGGATATACTACATTAGAAAATCACCTGTGCACCATTCGTGCCTGAACTTTCTTCATTAAAGTGTTCCCGATTACCAAGGCAATAAAAATTGAGGTAATCTTGTGGGTGCACATCAGTAAGTTGCATTGATTTCAATTCTCTAGCAACAACATCATACATCATTTGCATCGTCTGGCCCTGTATACAGAAAACAGAATTGAGAATAAATATTTTCTTTTTTTTTTGGGTAACATTCATGATCTTTTGAAGCCAGTTGCAAACCTAACTGTATTTCAGGGGGTGCAGCTGCACTCCCAACTTTAAGGATAATACAAGTATGTGTCTTATATTATGTTTTTTTTGCTCTCCTAAATTTATAATTTGTAGCCAGTGCTCTAAATTTCTAAATTATTGTTATTTTTTATCCTTTATTGGTTAGTTTTTTATTTTATTTTATAGTTCGGTCATTTTTCGACTCAATTTTCATTCCAAATGAATGTTTCCTCCTTTTTCATGTAAAATTTATGATTTTATTTTCATATATATATATAGAGAGAGAGAAGAGAGATCCACTTACTCCAAGAGTAAGTTTACTTAAAATTATTCCACTTAAGAACTCATATTCTATATTAAATTTCAACGATCTAACTACTGAATTAAAAGTCCTAAATACATAGATTAAATCTATAAATTTTAAAAAAATTTAAAAATTATTTAATACTCTATTTCATTAATTCAAATCAATGTATAAAATGTTTTTATGATTATCCGTCAATTTGAATTAATGAAACAGAATATCAAATAGCTTTCAAATTTTTTAAACTTTACAAACTTAATCTATGCATTAAAATTTTTTAATTCAACAGTTCGATCATTAAAATTTGATGTAAAACATAAGTTATTAATTAAAGTAAGTCTAAGTAAACTTTCTCTTGGAATAAATGAATCTCTCCTTGTACATACATACATATATATATATATATTAATGGTTATTATTTAAAATAAATTGCCTCTACCGACTCAAGGTCTTATGTCCGCCACTGTTTGAAGCACTAAACTCTAGAAAGATCCTCTAGCGTGGGGGGTGCACTTTAGAGAGTAAAGTGCAGGTATGTTAACCATAGATGAAAAAAAAAAGATTGATATAGATAAGATACAACCACATGGAAAAACAGGCCAGTATTTGACAGGCCCATCAGTGAGGTTTAATTTAGTAGGAAAAGAAAGAGGTTACAAGGAATGGAAAATGGGCCAAAGGATGTAGGATCACGAGTGAATGAGAGGAGGGAACATATCGCACGGGGGAAATAGTGGGAGTGAGGATAGAAAGAAATAACAGAATTGACATGTGGCAAAGAGCAGGGCAGAAGGGGATACGGGAATCAGAAAGAGGGAGAGAATGATTATAAAATGTGTGTGGTAACCAAATAGGGGGTTTGAGGAAATTGGTATTAATATTGGCTAGGCTGGGCGAAGAAGCTGGTTCTAATTTCTGTTTTTGTTTTCTACTGTTCATCATACCCTAGTTTTCATTTTATATTTTCTGGGATTGCAGCATTGTAACCGAGGTTTATACTTCATAGTTTATACCTCTAAATAGTTCTAATTCAATACTAGTATTACGATAGTTTTATTATTCCTATTCTGGTTCCTAATGGTATTTGTGAGAACTCACTCCCTTGATTTGCTCATCAACAATTATTTACCCTGTAATCTTTAAAGTGCACTTTAGAGAAGCAGAATCCTTAGACTTCATATTCATTTTTACTTTTTTTGACAGAAAGACTTCATATTCATAAATTGTAAATTTCCAATTGGACAATAAACTTCAAAACATTAGACAATCAGATACCTGCCAAAAGAGGATTTCTTGCATGGCCCCAGTTTTAGGATCACCTTCTGGCCACATTGGTAAAACAATATAGACAGCAAATCTCTCCTTAGCTCTGATTTTACTAGCAATTTTCAGTGCCAACTCCATTGGAATGAGATTATCAGCCCCTGAGCACACAACACAAATGAGATATCTCATCATCTTTAATTTTTTTATTAGGGGTGTACATGGATTGAATTTTTGAAAAATCCAAACCAAATGGAACAAGTCCATTTTATAAAAGTGAATAGATTAACTGGTCCATTTTTTTTATAAAGTGAACTAGTTTAGTTTTTTCAAAAGGTTTAGTACAATGCAATTATCTGTTTTTCAAAAAAATCAAACCGAACCAATCTATTTTATAAAAATGAGTTGGGTAACCAAATTGGTTTTATAAAGTGGATCGATTCAAATTTTTTTCTCAAAATAGATCGGATTTTTTAATATGGACCGGATCGATTTGATTTTTTTGCATACCCCTATTTTTTATTCTTTTTCTTGTGCAAACAAAAGATGTACAGACCAAGGAGTTTGAAAGTATATCTTATGAACAAAGATAGCAACAAGTCAACTAGTTACTAGAGCAAATAAAAAAAATACTATAAAATGTTATATATTTTTAATAAAATAGGTTTTTAAAGACAAAGAGAAGAAGAATAGAAAGAGTTGGGAGAATAAGAGTTCTTTCTGACTAAATTAAAATAAATACAATAACATTATTATCATTTAATCAGTTTTCAACCTAATTCACACCATACCAACAATTCTTTTCTCTACCTGATAAACTTCTGAAAAGGGATATACATTTTAAAGACATACGCATTCAATTTTTTTTTTCTTTTCCCTAAGATCAATGTAATCAAATTTTACAGAATATCCTTTTTTGGAGAACAGAGAAAACCACCTCACTAAAATATAGACAACTATCTTGCTTTTCAAAACCATGAATTTAAGCCTAACCTGCATCTTTATAAGATGGCCAAGCATAGGAAGATCCAATGAAGTATTGGTTTTCAATATAAATAAAGTGTTGAGCAGATCTGATCGCTTGGATGTATGCAGTTTGAATGCTTTTGTCTATAACCAAACTTTTAGCACAGATAAGATTCTGCATCCAAAACTATGTTAATTAGAAAATGCAGAATATGATTCCAATCAATTCAGTATATAAGATTATAAACTCTTTATACTGTAGATAGGTTTGGTTTGCAAGCAAGTAGTACAGAGTTCACTCAACATAGTTTGAAAGTGTTCTGTACAGATGAAATAGGATGAACAAGAAAGTAAAACGCTAGTTGTTAAACCTGAGAAAGAGCAACATCAACACGTTTGGGAAATCCTTTCAAGGATCCTGAGTCAATGGAGCGGAAGATCTGTAAGAGATGGAAAACAATGTAACGCAAGGAATTATCTCCAAAATCAAGAAAGAATAGCAGGCAAGAAACATTTGCTCAGAACTAATCTTGCATTGTCCAACCTGAACATGCCAGTTTTCAGGATCATCTTCATCAGAAACCCTTACTGAAGGGTCATCCTCTGGAACAACAGTATAATTATCCTTTGATGTAGAAGTGCGAGGACTTAATATCCATGAGATGCGTTCTATTCTTATTAAAGCATCATCATGCCATTGAGAGGATTTTTTGAAAAGGATTGCAAACTCTTTCCACTTAGTTGCTTTTCTCCACCGCTGCTCAAAATTAATGAGAACATCAAATGCAGCAGGTCCATCTATTCTGCAGTGTAAATCATGCCATGGTTGTCTAGGAACCCTTGTTCCAGCCTAACACAAAAAAAAATAAAAAATACAACAGTGGTAAGAAGTGAGAACTAACAATAAATCTGATGATCTATCAATTTTTTGGTTGGAAAAACAGGAGAGAAAGAGAGAGAGAGAGAAAGAACAGCCAAAGTGTTACAAACAACATTGTAATAAAACAAATATTTCCTACAACATGAAGATAGCAAAACATAATTGGCTTTCACACTCAATAATCCATAAATATGCAATCTACAATAAAGAGAATTACCCTATCCTGCAATAATGATGTAAGACAACTCAGCCCAGTAACTTGAGGCTTTCACCAAGACATTATCAATAATATTAAATATTAAATATTACATAATATAAATTCCATTCAGAGGCTACTATGTAAATAGAGGATCCACACAGCAGTTTTCATTCCAACTGAGGGCTCCATCAAGACTTGACAGATAATATAACCAAAAAAATCCCATTGAAAATAGTTAAAACAGGACAGTCCTGATTGCTAACAAAATGGAAGAATAAGCGCGAAGCTTAACAAAAAATAATATGCCTAACTGGGCTGAAACTTACAGCAAATGTAGGATTGTGGAAATCACCAGAAAATACAGTGTCAAGATCACGAAACAGACGATGCTCAGGTGTGTCATACCGGCCATCACATAGATCAAGACCTCCTATAAAAGCAGTTATCTTTCGATTATTACCAGCAGCCTGTGTGTCCACAATCACACATTTCTGGTGGTGTGTGAAGACTGTCCCAACAACCTGTACAATACCATATCAGAAACAATTTCATGACACTGTTTATCTCAAAAGACAGGACATCATCAACATTAATGAATAATGTTACAGGCATAAGTGTGAGAAAAGAATGAATAAATGGAACTGTGTCTGCTAACTTCAAACAGAGAAATCAATAAAAGGTATATCTCCCATACTAAATTTTGCACCTACAAAATACATACCCACTGTTTAGAGCTTAGGCCACAAAACACAAGGCATTTCACATTTGACTCCACTGAAAACTAGCTCACAAAGAATCCTATCTCCTGACAACATACAGGAGGGACGTATCAAGCCTATGCAACAACAAAATACAAATCCACTAGAGAGCAAGAGAAAAAACACAAGGCAATAAGAATTGACTACATTATTACTACATTATCTAAGACCTTGTTTGGATACAAGCTTGAAAGAACTTTTAAGAGCTGTTTGACACTAAATGTAAAAAACTTTTTTTGGTAGAGAAACTCAAAAACTCTTTTTAAGTTTATATCTAAACAGACTCTAAATCTAACAAGCAGCCACCATCAAGTCAACATTCACAGATTGCCAAACTAAAAATTGAGGCCTAGTTTGTTTCCTAATTGCAAAAACAGTTTTCTGTTTCCTAACATTTGGAAGCGTTAGTTCCTACTTCCTAGTACAGTTCTATTTTCTAAAAGTTTGTCCACTGTGCACCTCGGAAACAATTTTCAAAATTTAATAGATTTTAAATGAGAAATACATTAATTGTTTTCAAGTGAAACGCGAATCAAACCCTGAATCACCCCCAACACTTGCCTGTTGCTTCAAGAAGCTCATCTTGCTGCTAGCATACCGAGGCGCCAGAACACACATTACAGAAGAATGCTTAAAAAACTTCCTGGTTTCCTCATCATGAGTCTGCATCACTCCAGTCTGCACCAAAAACAGCACCCATCAAAGATGATCATCGATTACAATATGCAAAAAGCCAAGTAGAGAGTAAGCAAACCCCCACTCACCGTCTTCAAGAAAACCTTATCATGCGAAGTCTTGTCATCCCAAACCAGCAACAACACTCTCACACCTTCTTCAGACTTATACTTAAGCAACTCACCAAGAGTCAAATCGCCACCTCGAGGCAATTCCCTAGTAGCCTCTCTAACAAGCCTCACCTTGTGGTAAATCGACCAACCCACCAAATACACCATGTGATGAGCCTCGGAAATAGCGTAGCAAATATCCTCCCAACACTTCTCATGCCTGTAAACCCTTCCACCGTCAAGCTCAATCTCCGGCAACTTCCCCTCGCCGGAATCGGGACAGTGCGCGTCCTGGTACAGCCGCACCGAACTCCCCTTCCTCACCGGAAAATACGTGTGCCGCACGCCGCCGTGCTCGGGATCCGCCGCAATGCCGCGCCGGTAGAGCTCGTTCTCCGTCACCGGCGTGAACGTCATCTCGATGTGCAGCGCGGTGTCCGGCTTCGGCGGCTTGCCGGAGGCGCCGAGGATCGGGAACCAGCCGGAGATCTTCTCCCCGGCGGCGATCCGCCGCGCCGGAATCTTCACGGTCCCCATGATCTGCGCGCCGAAAACGTCGTCGTCCTTGACGCGGAATTCCAAATCCACGAGGGGATGCGCGAGCGGGATGTGGAAGCGCTCGTCCCAGTAAGGGTTGGGCGAGTTCTTGAGCACGCGCGTGCGCGCCACCGTGGCTTGCGGCACGGAGACGGTGACGTAGGGGTCGCTGGTGATGATCCTCCGGTGGCGGTGAGTCCGCGAGCGCTGGCTGCCGGAGTCGTCGGCGTGGTCGGAGTGGAATTTGATAGTGTCGCAGGCGGTCACGCAGCGGCGGAGGCGCTCGGAGAAGATGTCCATGTTCGGCAAGTGGCGAGCCTCGATGATTTTGAGGTCGAGGTCGCCGTGGAGGTAGATTACGCCATTGTCGTCGCCGGTGGAGTCCGCCATGGGAGGGGGAGCGTTCCCGTGCGACGAGTGTAGGATTTTGAATTTACGCTCGAGGCGTTGGGATTTATTAGTGTAAAGGAAAGTTTTGGTATAGCGTGGAAGGGAGGGAGTGAAGTCACGTGGTTCGAACTTCGGAGTTTCAAGTTTGAAGAGTGCGGTTTTTGTCAGTTTCTGAATTTCGATTTCTTTGCGCTGCGTGGCGGGGACACGACAGAGTGTTCACGTGATTCTATGTTTTAATTTCGTAACTGCACGGAACGGAATCGTCACGCTCCGTTATTCTCAGTTTTTTACACCAACATGTAGAGAAAAAGACTTTACGTGTCTCAATTATAAAAATAAATTTTAAAAAATTATTAATTTATATAAATATAAAAATCAAACATATTTATTAGTATAGATATATTTTTGTTAATATGAGATCTTAGCAAAAAAAAATAACCAAATAAAATAACTTAATTATGAAATCTTTATTTCGTTTATAAAACTTAATTCTGAGATCTTTGTTAAAAAAATCAAATCCAATTTGATTCTAAAAAATTGTTCTTCGAAATGGTCATTAAATTATTAGCACACTTTTCCTCGTTGTAGTTATTTATTTTAATTTAATGTAATAAATTCTTGATTCTTGGTGAGATCTTGGCTATGTAACGTGGCACCATTTGTTGGTGTTGAAAAGTTTCATATCATTTTCATCCGCGGTGTGTAGTGGACAAGTTGATGTAGGTAGTAATAGTATCTTATCATTTTCCTACGAGTCAGTGGGCCATGGATTTCAACGACACTCAACTGCTAAGTGGGCCCGTACTTGGGCTTGGATTCCATTACGAGCAAATCGTGTTCCTCGCGGATATCATAATCATTCATTACTTTGCATTGTTCAAAGATTTTGCATTTTTTGATGTGATTAAAGATTAAAGAAGTTGTTCTTTTTTCTTCTTTTTTTTTCTCTCTCTCTTTAATGGGATTAGACTGTATTTATAAAAATATCATGCTTTTCTTTTCTTTTTTGGTGGGATTAAAGAGTCAAGAAAGTATGTTTTTTCATAAAGTGTGTTTTTCATGAACTTTAATCATTTTTAATAGAAGAGTGCTAATAATTAATATACTCTAACAAATTTCTCTTAAAATAATTATTTTATTGGTTAAAAAAAATTACGAAATTAGAAGAAAAAATCATTAAATATGATATAACACTTATTAAATTTTATGTTTTTTAACAAATTTCTATTATTTAAAATAGTGTGTTAAAAGATAGAAAGCGTGTTACTATTATTTTACTTTTTAATATTGTAGGAAATTTTTTATTAAAGAGTTGCAGTTTCTTTTTACACCAGAGTTACACCTGTTTACAATTATTAGTTATAAATTATGTGGTTAGCGCTTTTCGTAATATTATTATTTTACTATATTCATTATTTGATTGTTTTGATACATGAATAATCTTATAATTAACAAAAAGACAACGTTTTGTGCAATTTTACGCATAAAACCAAGTGATCCGATTGCAAATGGGTGGTCCTTTTCAAGGCTTACTTCATTCATATAGATAATATCGTAAAATTTGACTTACCAAATAAAACCACAAATTTTCAAAGTGGGTCCGCGTGTTAATGACAGACAACCTAGCTGGTTATTGATTTTGATGTGTAACCTCCATACGCCACTGTTTTTTTATCAATTTTTTCTTTGGAAATAAAGGAAGACAAACAGAAAGTATTTGATGATGACTAAAGTTAAAGTATCTGGCAATTCATAATGTATGTTATACTTAATTAGAAAGGAAGGGAAAAGTATGTTTACTAACTTAGCATATCCTCAACTCAAGGAACTAGGAAACTTTCATCATGCAATGATGCAATACGAAAACCATATTCTGCATACGTAGAGTCCTAAGCTTCCATTTATTTTAAAGACAAAAAATAATAATAATAACTTGCCAACGAGGTTTCCAAGCATTTAGGATTTAGTATTTAAGATTTTAATATTAAAAAAAATACAAAAAGCAAATTCGACCTATGAGGAAGTGATGACCAAGCAATGGCCTTGGGTTCTATTGTCATGTGCCTAGCTCGCTCAACATCATTAGTGAGCAAAGCATTGACAACTATTTTCCAAAGCAAATTTGAATCCTCTTAGACCCAGGCCAACACCAAACTACTCTAAATAACGAGTCACGCTCACAAAATAAATTTTGTGTAAAGCTAACATAAGCTTAATTAATCGAGAAATCATCATTGTTTGTTCCTTTCCATGATAAAGAATCAGCTCTCCTTGAAGGGTGAGGAGGCGGAATAGCTCCGATTGCTCCAACACCCTTGGAGGAAGATAAGGACTAAAAGCTACAAAATTCTGATCACAATTAACTCCAACAAAATCACCAACCTTTTTCAACAAGCTAGCCAGTGGGAGTGGCTTAGATTGCCTCAAGAAGCTTATTGTGCCCTAGCACCTAGATATCATTCCAAAACGAAACCATTTCACCATCCCTAATATGTAAGAAAAACATGTCAAGAAGATCACACTTTATATGTATATAAAATACTAATTTAAATGATACACTTACTTGTTAAAGACATATTTAGATATACCTTCGATGTGTTTTTCATTCGCTGCACAAACCTTTGAAATCGAGAAGTCAAGTCTTTCTTTACCTGATCAGACACTAATATTATAGGTTTTCAATGGAGCAAACCTTAAAAAGCAATTGTTTGTTATCATGATGACAAAGGGGACCTAGACACACTATTTAATTAACCCTAGGTACCTCCCATCATGGGCCTTGAGGTTAGGATTGCATTGTTTTCTGCACATATTAGAATTAGGTGCTCAAGGCCTGTTATATGTGATACATCATTAGTGGATTTAAGTATCATCAGATGAATCATAATATCAGCTTGTTTTTGACAAAAAAAAAAATTCACAATTGATTATAGCCCACAAGAATGTATAAGAAATTCTAACATTCTCCCACGCAAGCAAAATCAATTGTGAAGTTCATAACTATGAAATTTTTTTGAAAATGCTCTTGAGCTAATAACTCACAAAATATATGATCCCAAGATACAACACTTAATTAAGATTCCATCCAATAAAATTCATGAAATATCGAATCATAATGGCAACTACATCCTGTAAGAAATTAATGTCTCATGTGTGTGGCAAATGAAAGGATATGACTTTTGGAAATATATTATTCAATTATTTTGAATGAAAGGGTATGACTTCTGGGAAGGAGTTATTATGTTTTAATGAAGGGGTATATTGTTTGATGGAAACAATATATATATATAATAGAAGGACATGAATAGTCCCTATCTCTGCCTATGAAAGTTTGTCTCTTAAAATTACCATCAAGAAATAAAGAGTACAAAGAAAAGATAAAGAGAAAGAGATAGAAAAGATTCTTCTTACAAATTCTACAAGATTCAAAGTCATCAATCTCATCATGGATCAAGGTTAGTGTTTCTATCTAATCTTATATGTGAAAACTATGAATTCTAAGATCATATTTGCTCATTCAAATATTATGTGAAATTTTACATGTGGTATCAGAGCATGTGTTTGAGAATTTATAGTTTTCCATTAATAGTAATTTTAATAATTGCATGAATGTTTTCCATCAAGAATTTGATAAATAATATTTTCCACTGCATTATTGAATTGATTTGTATATGAATTGAGAAAATGAAACATTTTTTTGAACTTGTGTTTTAAAAATCAAATTTTTCTGGAAAACGTTTTAAAATCACAAGACCGTTATTTTTTCCACTAAGTACGAATTGATTTCAATCTGAAATCATAAAAGCTTTAAAATAATATAAAGAATGGAATGTTTGAAGGGAGAATCAATTGCTTGGTTTCCCACAAGCAACAAAGGACTTGGCCTGGATATAAACCGTAAAATAAAAATAAAAATTGTAGTATCCAAAACAAAGCATGATTTTTTGATACGATATCTGACTCAGGGGCGAACACCCTTTTTTATGCCCGTCGCCTGTGTTGAACAAGATAAATTACATTACAAATGAATCTTTTGAATGGGAACCATGTGTTGACACCCTTATTGGGGGATGAACTACTAGTTAGCGAGATTTGTGCATTAGGCCCAATTATACCCAGGGGCAAGCAGCGCCTAGCCAATTTCCAGAATGTAACTTGAATTGAGATTTTAGATTTCAAATAATATATA